CTTCATTCTTGCTTTAAGGTTTTTGCTATATAGCAACTATTTTGAGCAATTACTGCTGGTATCCACAGTTCTGTCTCATCCTCACATAGGACAGATATATCTTCATCAACAGAGTTTAAGCTCTAACATCAAATTCTACAAATTTGTATCCAAATCTTAAATCTTCATATATGTCCAATCTGGTCAGTTAGAAATCAATATCCTTTGCTTCCTCCTCCTCCTCCAACTATGGTAGGAAAGTAACGACTTTCTTACAAGTGCTGATATCCACTTGAGCCAATCCCAACTAGGGACTTGGAAGTGAAGGTAGAAAAAAGGAAATGTTATCTGCAAAGGTTTATATGCTCCTGAGAAAAGTTAAAAAAAAAAAAAAAAGAAAAACACACACCAAAAAAAAAACCAAACACAAAACTCCCTCCCCAAAAAAACAGACGGGCAAAAAAAGCAAAAAGGAATAAAGAAAACACAAAACCAAAAAAAAAATAGGAAAAATATTGTCCACCATATCTTGTAATATTGCAGTGAAAAAGCTTCAATTCAGGCTTTACAATAATTGAGAAAAACAGAAGGCAGCCACTGCCATGTAATAATTAACAATTAACAAGTTAATTTTTATTTTTTCCTTGAAGCATTTTTGTCAGATCTGTGATAAAAAGAAATGATGTTCCTGACAAGTCTGGTAATTTGCATCTTACACTTTACAGATTTTGCAGTTTGTTCAGTTACTACTATGTGAATGCTGTCCTAATGTGAGTCATCAAAAACTGTTATTCTCACACACTAGGATATTCCTCAGAGACAAACTAAAATAGACCTAAAATTCTGATCTAGTTAAAATACAAAAAAAGTGTTAAGCATTACTCCAAAGGAATAATCTTCTGACTGGAAATTCAGAATTAAATACAGCAAATACTTGAGCAATGAAGTCATTAAACTCCTAAGGACAGCTGTTCAATTGCTTTAGGCAAAGTGAGACAGTAACACAATGACATGACACAATCCAGAAAGAAATATTTCACTGTGCAAACAAAACCTCTTAAAATCAACTAAAAAAATTTAAACCAAAAACTTAACATGCTAACCACAGACCAGCTTTGTACAACAGGTTGTTACATATTTGCAGAGTTTTGAAAAAGCTTCCCCCAAAAGATTACAAACCAAACAAAACCCAAATGCAATTAGCTAAAGCAAAGCAAATCACCAAAAAGCACACAAAAAAAGCCTAACTTAGAGGGCTATTTTAGGTGAAGTGCGTGATGACATTAACTCTGGCTTATTTCAGAGAATGGATGCAAACATGATATTCAAGCTTTTGGAAGATAGCTCACTCATAAAATGTTCAAAACCAAACTTCCTCTTCAAAGAGGCAGAGGAACGCTATTCCCATAAACACACATATATTTAATTTAAAACAAGGTTGTTCTCTGGTTCATGTTGCAATACTACAGTGAATTACATCAAGAAAGCAAAAGGAAAGTTACCAGTCATGGGTGAAAGCAGCCTACTTTTCCTTGCCTTGAAACACAACCAACTTCCATTCATCTTACTACAAAATGTGAGCGTGAGGCAGTTGCAATAATGGAGTTACTTTCCTTTAGATATTCTCTTTCTGAATGTGATTCAAAATACAACCTACCAACAGTAGTGTTATTTTCTGTTCATACTGAGTGGCAAAGATGAAGCCAAGAGAGAAATTTGTTTTCTTCATAACACATGCAAGAGAATACAGATATGACAATTATAGTCCCGAAACCTTTAGGTTAGATTTGGCTATTGCTTAGTACTAAAGTCTGAAAAGAGTACTGAAATTCAAGTAACAATGTGTCTGATTTTAGAGACTGTGAATATCTTGATCACAACTGAAGTAAGTGAAGTCTAAGATTATACAAATATAAGAAAATAATGGTTAATTATTAAAAATGCATTTGCAAGTACTTGATGAGTCCATATTAATAAAAGAACAATTAAACTGAATTTGCAGAGCTGGTGTGCATATGAACACCTCAGACTTAGATTGTTTGGTTGCCTAAAGTACACTATAATTATAAAACAATCCCAGTTTATTCATACATAACTTTCATTTTCATAACATACGTACTTTTTATAAAAAATAGTTTAATACTTATAGATTAGTAATGTTAAGAAAACAAGTGCAACCAATAGCACAGAAATCCCTGTATGCTAATTCTGTCTGAAGATGCACTGTAAGTCTGAACAGAAACATTTTGGTTCTGAAAAGCAACTGTACAAAAACACAAATCACTGTGAATCATGATCCATGATGTTTTGTGATTAGGTCCAACTTGACTAATAGACATGCAAAATAAAGTAATTAACCATTCATCCTTTTACAAATAGTCTGCAAGAAAATACTATTCAATCTGTATTTTAACGAAAACACTAAACTGATATGAAATCATGAGGCTATGGGGTACAACCTGGATATATTGTTAGTATCTTCTGCTCTTCAAGTTAAACAAATGCCCAGAAACATGTAGCTACACAACTGCAACTTTAGTTTTTCTTAATGGAACCAAGAGGTCATTCTCTTCTCACTAACTAAACAACATATGTATTGGCATTATGTTAGAAACTATTGTAATTTTCTGTTTGTGTCAGGTTAGAAAAGCATAAAGCAACAGGAATGCTTTAAAAATAAAACCCCTTCAGCCTCCTTTATTATCCTTAGTGTACTGTGAAAGTAAAGCTACTTTTTCTGGAAGTTGCTGTTAAGAGTGACAGAAAAAAAGTAGGTTTACTTCTTTATCACAAAAATTATACCAATTTCTGAGCACAAACAAAAACCATGACATCTTTCTTAATTCAAGGATTTAAACTTCAGAAACTAAATACAGTTCCCTGTTTTTTATTGTAAGAGCCTTATGCTGCACTCCCATAAAACCTTTCAAAAATGAGAGATTAAAGAAAGGGGACACTGGAAATCGTTTCAGAACCTTCAGTAATTTACAGAATCTACTCAGTAGTTTACCCTTAACAGAGTCCTCTCAGCATAAAGAGAACTAATCCTGAAATTATATCAACTTTCACCTTAATATATTGTGTTATACCTTGAAAGTTACTCACTACTAAAAGGCTCAGATAAGTTCCATTAAGGGTTTCAGATTCTACAGGCTTGATTGTTTTTCTCAGACAGCACATCACAGAATAATGCAGTCATAAGTATTTTTTCAAGTGCTGAACTCACAGAACTCTTGCTTTGACACTGCCTGTGGCAGCATACGGGATTAAAACCATACAAGAAATACCTGGGCAAAAATAGTCTGATTTTCCTACTCCCATCAATACCACTACTGTATTTTGTGTTTCCATGAAATAAAAACATCTCTGAAGCCCCACTGATGCACTTGTCAGCTACTTCTCTTCTCTGCTGATCTATAAAAGCTCACTAAATCACAAAACAAAAATAAAAGGAACAAAGTCAGTAGGTATAGCCACTACCTCTAGGCCTCCTTGACTGTCCATTACCTCCAGTGCTGCTTCTGGCTTCTTGCCAGCTCCTCAAAAGGCTTACCTGTCAAACACATGCCTTCTGGAAAAATAGGCTGCTACCAAGCCTTTTTTCTTTAAAGGTATTACTGCTGAATACATTAGTTACATAAAAAGCTGTAGGCAGGACTGTTTCTGTAGGCTGAGAGTATACTGTGATAAGCAAATATGTTTTTTTAAAGGAAATCCTAAACTTCTGAATACATAGACTGTTGTCATCCCCTTCAGTCCTAAATGACACTCCACCTGACTGCTATTCTTCTACTGCAAGTAATGTAATTCTACTTCTGCTAACACCTTCCATGATAACTATGTTTACTGCCTTGGACCACTATATGAGCCTAGTACAGTACCATGGGAATACTTCAAAAAGTAAGAAACACCAACAAATCCAAAAAAACAAACAAAAATCCCCAAAAATACTGCTCTAACTGAATTTAGGGAAAGTATCACCACTAATTTACCCTCTGACAATATTTTTATGCCAACTGAAAAATACTTGGTTTTTTTCATTGCAGAGATGGAAAGACATTATGCAATCTTGCCAAAGAAAAAGGATAATCCCACATCATAACATAAAATTAAAGCCAGATGGTTCCCATAGGAACATATCAGGAAAACAAATAATCTGGTAATGGGCACAACAAAGAGCGTATGAACAGAACTGTGTAATTCAATGTTCAAGAAATTTTATCTTGGTTGTAAGGGCAAAGTTTCCAGAACTTTTAAACAATGTGAAGATAGCAACAGCCTGACTGATAGAAAAAATTAAGTTAGGAATTTGGGCTTGGTTTTTTTCAGGTTAACTGTGTATCCACGTTATGGACACAATGCCCAGTACTTCCAGATATTGTACTTTCTGCAAGCATGGTAATTACTCATCCAGCACAGATTAATCTAAACAAGTACAGCTGATATTCATAGGTTGTCACAACATGCCAAAATCCCAGGAAAATGTTTCAGATTCATTCTGTCTGAAAACTATTTGGAAGAAGGTAGGGATTGGGACCACAGGATTGGAAGACAGGAAAGCCAGGACAAGTCCAGGAAAACTTGTTTGTCATTTATATTTCAATTTTCTAATCAAGTCAGTCTCTTAACATTATTAAATTGCTCTCTTTGAGATTCCTTTAGACCACCATACAACACTGCTGTAAACCAGTGCTACTGTAATGGACTAAAATGTGACACTCAAAGATTTAAAATAAAATAGGGGTATGTTCTGAATATTCTATTCATTACTTTATCTGCACTTATAAAATACCAGTAAAGGTTGAAAAATGCAAGTGAGTCTGCAGTTCATAAATTTCAGGGATTCTTTCCTGATGACATATCTTTGCCTGACAGAAAGAGAGCAGTATCTATTTGAAAATGGGTTATCCACCTACATAGTTCTGGCAGAAAGACTGAAGAGTACAGCAAGCCCTTCTCAGGAAATGTGAGCACTAATATGCTTTTCAGATATTGAAACCCTGCTGGATTTATGAACTTACCCTTATTAGACTGTTAGAAGCTTATTCAGCTGATCTTTCTTCTGCCATGGTTTTCTGATCACTTCTGCTGAGAGGATAACAAAAGTTGCTTCTGACAACACCAACTACTACAATCTGATCAGAAGCTGCCAGACAGACCTGATGCAAAGAAGCAAGAGCATGGACAGGAAGCTTGATTTGTAAATGCTGCTATCTGCAGAACTTCTGAAAAGCTGAGCAGAAAGACAGAAATTCAAGTTCTACAGCACAACCTGAGAAGAAAGATGGAAGAGATAGAAGGTTGATTTTGTACCCATTTTAATTCCCCTGAACTCAAGCCCTGAAATTCAGAAGCTTACATATAAAACAAAGGGAAAGCATCCATCCTAAATGATCCTGCAATAAAGCCCCATGCAAGCCAGTCATGAAAACTGGCAAACCTGTGTCCCATCACTTCTTAGTCTGAGGGCAAGCCCAAGCTCTTTCTCATCAACTTCAGATAAACTGACAAAACTGTGCTCTGAATTCCAGCTGGCCTTCAATCAGTTTCAGATAATTTTATACACTGCTGTAAGGATTACATCCTCTTTCTCAGAACAGACCTGATAAACCCAAGAAACATGACTTGCATGTGAAACCAGAACAAACTACTCATCAAACACGAGGCTCAGAGCACCTAAAAGTCACAGAAAACTCAGGGTAAGCAGGGCCACAGCTGCAGTACTGACTGCACAGCCGAAGAATAGAAAACACCTGGGACTCCAGTTAGCAGAGAATTTCAACATCTGTTTTCATCAACCATATTAAGCATGCCCCTAAATACTCCAAAAAAACACCTGGTAAGACAACCGACACTCTGCTAAGGTAAACAGACTGATTCCACAACCCAAAGTCTTCTCTTCTGAGCAAGCCCACTACAAAAACAAGCAAACAAAAACTGAAAGACTCAAACTATAACAATTTTTACTCCTTTCCATTCAGGCCCAGGCATGATTTTTGTTACATCACTCTACAGTCTTTTTTATTAAGTAGTAATGTAGGATTGTGAAATTCATCTCACTGTTCAAGAAGCTGGAGACAAATGGACAAGTTTTACAACAAAGGTATAACAATAAAAAGAAACCTTCCAGTACAAAGCAGTTTTCACTTAGAGTTTTGTTGGTTTATCATAAGAAAGTTGGAGAAAATCTCCCACGAAATGAAATTATTTCTTGTAAATGCTGACAAAAAAGAAGTCAGAGATCACATTTATGACACTTATGGTTTTGTTTCTGATTATGAAGAGAATACAGATTACAGAATTCCCATGATTTCTTTCTAAGGATAAGAACTTCTAAATTAACCAAGTATTGGGTACGTTTAACTTCTACTAAGTAATCTGAGAAGAGAAAGAAGAAAGTTTCTGTAAATAAACAGAATAAGAAAATTTATTCCAAAAAAATACATCAGATTTTTTTTTTTCCTCCCAAATAAAGTAGAATATAATACAGGCTTAAAGAAAACTGAGTGACTTCACCCAATTTTTCCAGCTGAAAATACTTTTATTCCAACTGAAGTACTTTAATTCCAGTAATTTTTAATAAGAAGAAATAGATTCAGAATTACAATGGAATTACCATTTACACCACTGAGATATGAATCAATGTTGTTGCTGGTTTTGATGAGTATATTCTAGCTGCTAAGGGTACTTACCTGAAGTAAATTTTCTTCCTGTCTGAATCAATACATATATTGGAAGCTTGTAATATGGGTTGATGCCAACCTTATGAAGTTTAACCATGACAAGTGCAAGGTCATACACCTGTGTCAGAGCAATCCCAGGCACAGCTATGGGTTGGGCAAAGAATAGATTCAGAGCAGCCCTGTGGAGAAGGACTTGGGGGTGCTGGTCGATGAGAAAATGAACATGAGCCTGCTTCAGTGTGTGCTCACAGCCCAGAAAGCCAACCGTATCCTGGGCTGCATCAAAAGGAACGTGGCCAGCAGGTCGAAGGAGGTGATCCTGCCCCTTTGCTCTCGTGAGACCTCACTTGGAGTATTGTGTGCAGTTCTGGTGTCCTCAACATAAAAAGGACATGGAACTGTTGGACAAGTCCAGAGGAGGGCCATGAGGATCATCAGGGGACTGGAGCACCTCCCGTATGAAGACAGGCTGAGAAAGTTGGGGCTGTTCAGCCTGGAGAAGAGAAGGCTGCGTGCAGACCTCATAGCAGCCTCCCAGTATCTGAAGGGGGCCTATAGAGATGCTGGGGATGGACTCTTCGTTAGGGACTGTAGTGATAGGACAAGGTTAATGGGTTAAAACTTAAATTGGAGAAGCTTAGATAGGATATAAGGAAGAAATTCTTCACTGTAAGGGTGGTGAGGCACTGGAATGGGTTGCCCAGGGAGGTTGTGAATGTTCCATCCCTGGCAGTGTTCAAGGTCAGGTTGGACAAAGCCTTGGCTGGCATGGTTTAGTGTGAGGTGTCCCTGCCCATGGCAGGGAGGTTGGAATTAGATGATCTTAAGGTCCTTTCCAACCCTAGCTATTCTATGATTCTAAACATCTCCTCCAAAAAATTTCTAAGTAACAGGTAAAAAATAGAAAATAGTTTGGAGGCAATGGGATTATAAGGACCAGTCTTCCCTAGTGAAAGCATAAATCTTTAACACAAAATTAAAATGTCCACTGAGCCCAAGATCTGGACTTCAAAAGGGATTTTATCTTCTGTTTTCTACTATCTCCAAGTCCCTCTGCTCTCAGTCCAGCCCCAAATGATCAAAACATTGTTTCAGAATGATGAAAAGTTTCAACATTGAAAAATGTTTATTTTTCCATTTTTTGTGCCAGCCAAAGTTAGTTTGACTCAGTTTTACAAATTCTTCTAGCAATTAAAAGCCACATTTTTGGTAAATTTATGTCTTAAGATGTCACCCACCACACTGAATACTTCCTTCAAACTGTGAACCCTCTTCAACAGGACACAGGGCACCAGTGTGGCATTGTATACTCAGCCCCTCAGAGTCCCTCAGTCTTGCTCCCAATTCAGACCTTACACACTGTTTAGGGCCTAATTTAATTTCTTCTCATTTCTGATAAACATCATCCTTAGTTGAAACTGAGACTACCAGGATTTTTATTTGATTTTGTTTTTCTTACCCAAAATGAACTGCAAACAGGTCATTTGTTACACCTGTTGAGAGGGGCTTGGCCAGATCTCTCTTTCCTACAGTCTGGAGCACAAAGGTTTTGAAATGTGTATACAGTTAACTTTTAAAGTGACCAGAATAAAGATACCCTGAATCAAAGGGAAGAAAACCAAGCGGGGAATTACTGCCAGTTTCATAAATCCAGCTAGGATAAATACTCCAGTATTTAAACTGAGAAGTGAAAGATGACTAGCATAAGTCATTACTTGTAGGTTTCCCTCATTTTCCTTAAGTTTGCCACCTTTGTTTACTTTAGAGTATTCCTGTTTAACTGAATGTCACAATAAACTGACTGTTCATCTATAAGAAGTATGCATTTCTTCATGTTAAAATGACCTCATGTCACTATTGTGTATTTAGTGATAAGGTCTCATTCCAGCAATAAAGCCATGTGGAATGCATTACCCAAAGACCTATTAAGTATAGAACATTCAGCATTTATTTACCACATTGAGAGAAAAGAGTCCTTAAAAGGTTATTCAAACTATAGCACAGAGACTAAAATATACCCAATATCCCATTGATTTGGCAGCCTGCCATAACTGTCTCATATAGTCTTAATTAGAACACAATACACACGCACACATACTCTCTTCTGGGAAACATTCACAATTACACAAAGCCACAATAAGAATAATACTGCATTTGACAGCCGGCATGCACGTATTGTCATAATCCTGCTGGATACCTACTGTAAGTGAAAGGTATGCATCTTCCTGAGCCTCTGAAAGGTAAAGTCAGATTGAATAAAGATCAGTGTTGTAGGCCTATCCACCTGTGTGACACATTGCTGACTCCAGCTTTTCCTGAGGGGGAGGAAGACTGCTTGCCATTTTTCTTTACCAACATAACCCACACATCTATTCAAATCAGAAACAGGATTTGGGAAAAGAAAATGCTTTTAAAGTCTTCACCTCCTTTGAAAATATAACAGCTCCACCTTGAGGCAGGACCCAGCGAATGCCGGTAAAAGGTGCAGTCAAACTGAAGATGTACTACAGCATAGTCAGCTATATGCATCTAAAACATACATTGACATCTCCCAATACTGTCTTCTGCATATCTTCTCAGCATAAAAGAAGTTGTATGTGTACACATGCGCATTCATCTAGACAAGTTTACTGCCAAAAATTAAATGTATAGCAAATAAACACCCATTTTAAAGAGCAATTCCCAAGGATGATTCAAGTCAAGCATAAGAAGGCCTGATAGAAGTACTCCTTCAGGAGCGGAAATATTCAGGTTCCTCTCTGAGTAGTCCACACAATCAAAATTCATACCATTAATTTCTCATTATTGTATTCTTCCTAAAAAAGCTGTAAAAAGATGAATAAATGACAATGTTTCATTTAAATCAACATTCAAATATGTCGAGATAATTGATTTCAATATGCTCCTAAGCACTGCCAGTAAGTAGTGTTCCTCTGAAGTGTTAATGAAATTATTTCTTTTTAAATGCTTCCTTTTAAAACTTTAAGTGCAGAATACCAACCTGCATATTCTTCAGGCTACTTGAGGAGTTTTATTTTTAAATGACAATGTAGCAGCTCTTAGAACCTTTCTAATAGATTACACATTATGTCAGTGTGGTGGATTGACCGTGGCTGGACACCAGGTGCCCACAGATGCTGCTCTATCACTCCCCTCTTCTGCTGGGCAGAGGAAAGAAAATAGAATTAAAGGCTCCATGGGTCAAGATAAGAACAGAGAGAGATCATTCACCAGTTACTGTCGTGGGTAAAACAGACTCAACTTGGTGAAAACAGTTTCATTTATTATCAATCAAATCAGAGTAGGATAATGAGAAATAAAACAAAAACCTTAAAAACATCTTCCCCCCACTCCTCCTTTCTTCCCAGGCTTAACTTTAATCCTGATTTTCTCTACTTGCTCCCACACAGTAACACTTTCGGGGGTTGCAGTCAGTTCATCACATAATGTCTCCGCCTCTTCTTCTTCCTCAGCAGGAGGACTCCTCGCACTCTTCCCCTGCTCCAGCGTGGGTTTCCTCCCATCGGAGACTGCTCCTCACAAACTTCTCTGATGTGTGTCATTCCCACAGCCTGAGGTTCTTCATGAACTGCTGCAGCATGGGTCCCTTCCATGGGGTGCAGTCCTTCAGGAACAGACTGCTCCAGTGTGGGTCCCCCATGGGGTCACAAGTCCTGCAGCAAACCTGCTCCAGCATGGGCTCCTCTCTCCACGAGTACAAAGGCCCTGCCCGGAGTCTGCTCCAGTGTGGGCTTCCCACAGGGTCACAGCCTCCTTCAAGACACATCCCCCTTCCGTGGTAGAGTCCTCCATGGGCTGCAGGGAAATCGCTGCTGTGGCACCTGGACCATCTTCTCCCCTCCTTCCTCACTGACCTGGGTGCCTGCAGGGCTCTTTCTCTCACATATTTTTGCTCCTGTCTCTGGCTGCAGCTGCTCCTGCACAATACTGTTTTTTCCCCCTTCTCAACTGTGTTATCCCAGAGGTGCTATCACCATCACTGGTAAGCTCAGGGCCAGCGACAGGTCCATTTTGGAGGCAGCTGGCATTTGCTGTACTGGTCACAGGGGA